ATTTACTCAGTGTACGGCATACTCACGAGCACCAGCAAAGAAAAAATATCTCTTGAATTCAATTGAAAATAAGTAATAGATTTCACGTTCTTGTTTAAGAGAAAATCAATTTATCTTAAGTAGGAATAGTTTGTGACAGTGCCGCTAAAACAAAAATCTCTAATATCTTGCAATTCCTTTGACAATTCTAATTTTCTATAGTTTGGCAAGCACATTCTTTAAAAAACAATAGGAAAATAAACAATTTTCAGGAGTAAGTATAAAAAGCTTCTAATGTGACAATTCCACTTTCAGTTAATCATTTAGAAATTCCCTTGATAGTTCAGTCGTTTCATGAAACAATGGCGTCATACAAACAGTTATATTTGACGAATATTTAATAACGGCGACATACGGTGATAATTTTAATCGATGAAATGCAGCAAGATATTCAATTTTTCAAAAACATTAAAATGAGAATTATTATAAAGTTTGATAAGCCGTATACAGAACTCGAGAGCGTGTTGTATCGGGGCTAATATCACCCGATACAACACGCTCTCTCGTTCTGTATACATTACGTGAAATTTTGCCATGATGGCGGAACGACTAGATCTAGAAGTCGAAAAGCAATRTGCAAAAACACATTCCTCCTCCTGCACTTTTGAAGGTAGAGATAAGTCCAAACCTACATAAGTATTCTTAGATGTTTTTGTCAGTATCCAAGCATGACAAGATTACACGTACAAGGAGGTAAAAAGTAAAGTAGCAAGGACAGAGAAATGCACAGCCGCCATCTTGAGTTTCTTTAAAAGTWTAATAAATTGAAAGTCTAACAATGATAATTAAGATAGTGAAAGTCTACAATGTTCTATTTCTTCCACTTTCTTGACAAGTTCACCCTTTAGTTTGTTGATGTTGTCTGCGATATCACTTGCCAATTCGCCGGTAACAGAATCTGTGTGATGCTTCTGAAGATTTAAAAATAAAACACATTCTAAAAAAATGGACAGCAAGAATGAGCAGAAGAGCATTAATGAAATACAGAAAAAAATATGTATACTTTAAATTAAAAACATGATTCTAAAAAAGTAGCAGTTGCCCAATATGGTATAAATGTTCACACCTTAATGTTTATCGGAGAATTTTACAAGCATTTGCATATGAAATGTGATCGAAATTGATAAAAAGATTTCAATAGTTCTAGAACTCATTAATAATTCATGAGCTATTAGTCCAATGAGCATCGAACTATTGGGTCACATGATACGCCTTTATATCCGATAGAGTACTGATGTTTTATTAATCAGTTCTATATCAGATATATAGAACTGATGTTTTATTAATCAGTTCTATATCAGATATATAGAACTGATGTTTTATTAATCAGTTCTATATCAGATATATAGAACTGATGTGTTATTCATCAGTTCTATATCAGATATAAAGAACTGATCAAGTTCATCAGCGCTTTATCGCAACCCAACACTAGCAAAGGTYTCAGTTTTAATGTCGCATCATAGACCTTTGCTAGGTTTTAAATCAGTTTGAATCCATGTGCCGACATGCACTATAGCTAGACTAGCCGTTCTTTCGTGTGGGATCAAAATTCTTTCAAGTGTGGCACAATGCACATACTCATTAGAAGTTCAAAATGAATTATCACTGTTTTCGCATTTTTTTAGCTTTTTTCTAAAATGATAACAATTTCTGAATGTTGGAGATAAGGGTGACCCCCTTTTTAGGGTCCCAATAGGATAAAAATAAAACTTATATCCCGTGTAAATATTTGTAAGGCTAAGATTTTAATAAAATAAAATAACAGCCTTTCCACGTTAATTAAGAACACTTTTAAGAAAACTAAATAATTCTCTGGTGACATGGAGCATGTATCGCAGCAGCAAAGTTTAAATGAGCTACGAGGAAAAACGTCTGCTACGTTTATTAAGCCAAACTAGATGCGCTTTGAGCGTAAAGTCGGGCTACTCAGAGAATGGGAAAGGTGTCTCTACCCGAACATATCACCGGTCACAGTGTCAGTAAGTCTTTTTTTGTTCCCCACAAAATGACGTACATCTATGTCCTTGATGGCAAACAAAGGAAAGAGCAAAAACATATACGATCGATCCCTGTCAAAATCTTGACGAACTGTAGTACATCATCGTAAGTTAATGCATTTTGCTTGACTTATATACCAGTATTTTTCCTTCCTTAAAACCATACCATAAAATAATATAGCAGACTGACATTTCATAGGTATAATATTGTTTTTGTTTGTTTGTTTTTTGTTTCTCATTCGGCAATTATTAGCTATCTTGGGTGTCGTGCTTAGTACGCCGCTCTTTAAGTTGTAAATTTCTATATTGTATATCTAACTTTGGTCATTTCAATAAAAAAAGGGTCTAATATTGTCATTGGTTACAATTGCAGTTTTCATTATTATTAATGTAAAGCAGCTTCCCTTATCTTATTGGCATGCATTTCTTCAGAATGTGTGATATTATGATCTAAGCACAATAGACCAAACCAAGGTTTCCGCCATTTGACACAAACCAGTTAACGAAAATTCGTCGCCTCCACTGGACACTGCAAACTTTTGCACCCTCTCATACATTTCACTGTAAAATTTCGCGACTTTGCAGAGCTGTATTTTCTCATGTTTTTGACACATCACCTTCAAATTTGGTAGGCTTACTAATTTTGGGCTGTTCTGTCCAGTGGAGGCGATGACTTTTTGTTAGCTGGTTTGTGTCAAATGGCGGAAATAACCTTGGTTTGGTCTATTCAGACATTCAATATGCACACCCCTTAATTCAAATGAAATTTTTGAAGGGTCAACTCTAAAATAAAAATCCTGAAAGTAGTTCATAAGTGTAGTACATTATTTATTTCAGAATCCATGTCGATCCGACAGTTTGAGATACATTGAAATGATTATAATTCCGAGTAATTCGTTCCCTTAATCCAAAACTTTGGTTTCCTAAAACGATGTTTTCCCTCCTCGGAATTATAAGTATTTATTTCAAGAAGTACACAAGTACCTTTAAGATGTGGTAAGGCAAGCAAATCTCTTGCATGAGAATCAAAAAGCKTTTAAATTCTCCATGACATTTGCAATAAATAGCTACAGTGTTACATTGAACAGTCATATAACAAACATATATTTTGCTCTAATCAAACTTCATGCATAGCATTTCTATAAGGCATACAAAAATCAAAATCAATGCTTGCTGATATACCGTGTAAGTTAACAGTATACCATGGGTTGTATTCTCTCATAATTTTGTTCAAATACTATATTGACTGTATTGGGCAACTCTGATAATAATAAGTATTTTGTTATTGCATTAATTCAGTGTTTGTTATAAATTAATGCACAAAGTGACATAAATTGCCACACATTGTTTCATTGCATTCATTCTCAAACAGTCTCATTTTGCCTTGAGAGTACTAACTGTTTTGCTGCATTTTTTCTGCATCTCTACTTACAATGACTGATTTTGAGACTTGATTAGTATAGGATAAATATTTGTAAATAAAAGTTAAATTGTGCATTTTATGTTCAAAATTCAGTTATTCAAAATGCGTGTAAAAGTTKTTTGACTGGATTTTGCGTGTTCTCGATCACGTTGAGGTGCTTCAGATGAATCCATCACATTCAGAAGCAACGAACTTGGCATATCGAGACATTATACATTTTTGTTTTTACATGGAGCTTTTTATCATGACATATAATTACATAAAACACAAAYTTTTTCTGCTTTTTCAAATAAATTACAACCGTTTTCTAAAGATATCAGTACATTGTTTATGGACAGTAAGTTAACTTAAGTTTAAATCCCAGTTTAAATACATAGCATAAACAGACAAAACTGCGATAAATAACACAGCGAATGGGAAAATATCATTGACAAAACTATTTATTAATACATAAGACATCGCTATTATAACAAATTAACTTATCACTGTGAGTATAGAGCTGATTGTAGAGATCTGACCCTTCGTCTTCTCGAAGAATTCCAATATGGCGTCCTTACATGTGGTTTCTAGAATATAATTACTGCTACGTTTGGTCTTGTTAGGGATTACCAGGGTTCGCGCACATTTTCACGTACTTTTTAAGAACAAAAATGCGATTTTCAAGGACTATTTTTGAAGATATTTCTTGATGCTTGCGAAGGCTTCCTGTGGTGATTCCCAAAAATAGCCACACTTCAATCCAAACAGCAAAGAGCAAAATGTTAATTTTATCAGATTCAAGGAGTTTTTCAGGAGTTTTAGCTATTTTTCCCATTTTTAAGGGCTTTTCAAGCGCCCTTGAAAACGAGTTTTCAATTATAGGACTTTCAAGGAATAGCGCGAACCCTGGATTACTGTTGACTAAAGAATTATTATTTTCCTGGAACAACTTTTAGTGTGAGTCTAACGCGATCGGAGAGTGCATTTGTAAGTTGTTTTTGACATCTTGATTTAAAAAATTCCCYAAGGATCAAACGTCGATCAAACGTAGCACAAGAAGAGCACCATGTGACAAGTAAAGTAAAGCATTACTGGGATAATATGGATGACCATGTGACTTTGGTATTCCTATGCTATCAAAACAGGGAATTATGGATAATTTTCGTTGACATGTTACTTCGTAGGTGTGCACGTGATTGCCTGATTATTATGGTTTATTTAACTCTGGGCTACCTGTGCCCTACTAACTCCAATGTATCATCGGATGGAAGTTTTACTACTCTGAGCATGCTCACAACTTTCAATAAGTTTCATGAAGAGCATTTCTACCCACATGGTTCTCAGCAAGCCAAAATACTGGTATATAAATAAGCAAAATGTAGTAATTTACGGTGAAGCAATACAATACATGACGTCATGTGTGACATAATACCACAGGATCCTCGAGCCCGAGTTAGAGGTCTTTGATTACTTCCGGACTGTAATTATCTGAACACATATATTGGCAAAAAGGTAAAACTAAGTCGAACCCTCTGCGGGTAGCCCGACTAAAAAGCCTTGGTGGACTCAGGAAAATGAAATTGCGTCGAGATGACAAAAAACGCTTTTGCCCATTATGTTTTTCAATAAACTTGACTGGACTATGTAAGGAGTACTTACTTCTGCTTTTACGATGAGTTGTTTCATTATAAGTTTAGCGGAAGAGAGCACTTGAATGGCTTGCTGACTGCTGGCTTTACTTTTGCTTACTTCAGTGGAGACTATATCAATAAGAAYGACAATGAATGTTTTTACAGCATCAGACCACACAACAATCGGGTATTTCTAAAACAATGTTAGATTTAAGTACGAAATTTTAAAGAATTTCTATGACTTTTCGCAATTAAATACACTCTCAATAAACGAGTGCCGTGAATGACGACATTGACATATGGTCTTACGTTTGGTGGAGTTTGGTGCACAAGGCCCAAAAACAATAGGACTTTTGAAAATATCATTTAAATCAAGCTTAACTGTAATTAAAATGAAAACGTTGAGCCTATGCACTTTAGCTATTCCACGGACAAACCAGCATTGACGATCTTTATTTAGAGAAAACTACAGTATTGACTGCCTTACATGGGTCAAACGTGAAACCAACAACTTTCGGTCGATCATTTGTAGTCCTCCCAAACAGCAAAATAAAAAAGAAAATTAATTAAAATAACAAAAAAGAAAAAGAAAAATCTTTTTAAAATAGTTCGATAATTATGCCTGTCAATCTACTCCAATTACCTTCGCTGATGTATAAAGTCATATCAATGACTTCACTGAACCTTTCTACGTCGCTCTCCCAATTCGATGCTTGACTTGTTAGTCGGTAAGCTTTCATGAGAAAATTCAAGCCCTAAAATGACAATAAGCTCTTTATTAAACGAGATTTCTTGAATTTACTCATCAAAGAACTGAACCAAGAAACTGTATCAACCATGAATGCGAAGCCTAAAAACTTACTTCGATGAAAAAATCATCCAATCTTCTGTACTTAACAATTATCGCCGAAGTCGAACCGATTATCGACGACAGTTGCTGAGCCTGAGACGAATAATTGTTTTTGCTGCCGTAGCGTGGCGCGCCTGATTCGCGCGAAGCAAGGTCAGAAAACATGGAGCTTCCGTACACAAACGCACGGAAAGGTCAGAGCTGATATTGATGTTATCCACCCACAATCCATTGCTTTCGCTTCTAAAACAATGAATTTCTTTGTTTTCGCCGTCAAAAAATGTATACGTCTTGAACATCGGGCACTTACTATAAAAATTAACCACACGAGGATCGTTCTCTTCTTCTGCCCAGTTCAATTTATAGGACATGGCATAATACACCTCTACTAACTACGAATACAGCACCTAGATTTTGTGACTTTCTAAGATTGTAACCCTTCGCGGCGGTAATTTAGACGATTTTTTTTATTAACAGACTGTTTCACATGAAAGTTAATCTTTCTAATTCCAAAAAAATATAGAAAAATACTGCTAAGGTGTCGTAATCCCTAGGTTGTTTGACGGCTCCCGTTGAGCATTTCGAAGCCGATGTATGTGCTGTCAGCTTGTTCCGTTTTGTTGTCTTCTGCTTTGTCTCTCAAGTTGATGAGGGTTTTTGAATTTTCTTTTTTTGGCATATTTTCTAACAATACATGTAACTATTCTAAGCTTCCCTCGAAATCAGATCTGCGGCGAAATAAAGAACATTTTCAGCCACACCAGGTGAGCCGCGTTTCAAATTGGCTAGTTTGTTGACCTTGCTTGACCGCGGTGAAAGATGGTGGATGGTTTTTCTTCAAGGCTTAATTTCTCGTTTTTTTATTTTTTCGAGCTGCAAAATCATTCATAAATACCTTTTCCTTGTCTTCTGAAGAGTCCGTCATTAAATACAACTTAGAATACAGTGACCATACACGAGGGTCGTTAGTGATCTGTAATCCACCAAAGAACATTTATTTAACGTTTTAAAAATACGCAATAAAACATAACATAATGAGCGGATAAGMAGACAAACAGGCAGACCAGGTTTCAGTTCAGTACAAAAAGACTAAAGTAGAATCATGATAAAGTAGGACAGGCAGGCTGACTAGCATACAAACATTCAAACAAAATATCAAGCACACAAACACAGGAAAGCAGAAAATTTACTCTTTGACAGTAATTACACAGGCATTCCAACCTGCAATTAGTAATCTTACTAAGTTTGAGACAATGCAAATCACGAAATTTTACCCCAAAAAATACTCATGAGGTTACATATCTCTATTCGTTATAGTTAAAAATCTTGGTGAATTTAAAGTGTTGTATCTTCTCGACTTTTTATAGTCTTTTTTCGAGCCTGCGTATTTTTGTTTTCATTTCAGATTTAAATGGTTTCTCACTAATATAACTGCTTGATTTGAATTTAAACGCAAAATGGTCTTTTGGTAAAACTTGACATGAATGCGCCTTAAGATAATAGGTATAAGATTAGTATGTCASGGACAAATGAGGAGTTTGTTCTACCTTGCTCGTAATTCTTCCCATCAGTTTCAGCAGGTCAGTACGAAGTCTTGTAGCTGTATAAAATAACGACGTTTGAATTATTTCTACACAGACTAGCCAAAAAGTCTATTTGCACAATGATATATCCGAAAATGGAGCTCATGACTACGAATGCTTCGGCCACTTTTCCCTTGCTAATTGTTCAACTAATCCACAAATGAAAAATTAATTTGAGTATGAATCATTTAGTTGTAATTTTTCAGTTGGTACAACTATCGCATACCCCGCCACTCAAACCCTCTATCTGTTGCCATCGGTTACGCGGCTACGCAGTGATAGAAATAAAATACCATGATAGGCACAGGGATTCCAAAATACACTAAGCTATACTTACCACCGCGTAGCCACTTCATAGTATATTGCCTCGTTCTATGATAAAGAACAGGGAGGCCGGTATTTAACTTATGCCTCCGCAGCCGCATAGCCGCTTCAGTATATATTGCCTCGTTACTCGGGGTTCCACAGGAACTGCGAGTTTAGGTTTCGGCCTTCTTTGTCATGGTAGTCGTCGCATTTGGTACACAAATTGTCTCGGCCAAACTAGAATGCACTGGGTACGAATCACGTGACATTCACAACTYCCATGTGCTATCTTTACATGGTGTCGTCGAGGTGTCGTCTTTATACGAGATGGAAGACATGGATCCAACTTCAAACACGCTCAAATCTCTTACAAATCCACACACCATTCGCGGTATAGCCACACTAAAAGATGTCGAGCGTTTTTCGAAAGGGCATTTTGAGAGATACCGCGAATTTACCGTGAAATTTATCGTGAAACTTATCGTGAACTATCTATCAAACAAGCTACCTATCTTATCAAAAGTATAAATATATGGCAAACACGCAAGTGTAAACGAGCCTTACCGAATTCACTACTATTTTATCAACAAGAACCCCGAGTTTACGCAGTTATGCGTTTAGTTCTATAATAAAACACAGGGAGGCCGGTATTTACTTATGACTCCGTAGCCGCGTAGCCCCTTCATAATATTTAACAAATAGAACTCGAGGGCGAATGGCTATCAGCTCTTAGTCCACGAGGCCGAGAGATCTAATCAGTTGTTTTAGTATTACMATACTAGTTGGACAAAAAATGAATGAAATATAAAAATAACTAAATGTTTTTATTACTAAAAAWACACAAAAAGTTGTCGCTTTTCGCTAGTCGAGGACTATTGAAAATAGACCCCGAGTACCGTAGGTACTCAAAACGAGGGATTTRCAATAGTCCACTAGTATGGTAATACTAACGCAGGGTATTCTGCAATTAAACACAGGAAGTCCTATGTATTTATTTTGAGCTGTAGCCGCAGCCTTCGTTCATAATTATGAGGTGTTTTATTTTTTTTGCGGTGTATTCGATAGAGTGCTCGCACTAAATGCGTGAAATATAAATACTAYRAAATARGTGRTAAATTATACAAATTYCTTTGTTTCCTATTGTATAATCAACACTATTTAGTAGTAATTAGTACTATTTGTTTCACGCTTTAAGTGCAAGCACTCTAGTTACTCCTTTCAGAAACAGCGATTAAATAGAATTATCAAATAATCCTGAAGATATCAAGATTCTACCTGACTTCCCTTTGTTGTCTTCTATCCCTTCACTAACAGCTTTTACTAGTAATCCAAGTATCTACAGCATTAGAAAAACAGCATTATAAATACTAAACACTCTGAACAACGAAGTGCTTGTAAATAATTTTAAACTTAAAAATAAACGTCTTTCATAATGTCAATAATTTGAGAATTGCAGCTTTAAATGATGCTCCGATGACTAAACAAATAACGCATCATTATCACTTGAAATTTACAAGCAAAAAGAAATACCTCCACATCCTTGTACTTTTCTTTAATGTCCATTAATTGATGAAAAGCAAATATAGATTCAAAAAATGCGCGAATCTGAGTACTGATCTGAAAAATCAACATTGTTTTTTTTATTTAATATTATTTTGAACGATTATTGTAATCCAAAAATATTTTTGGGTACACAAAAATTCATTCGTAATTCCCACTTTAATTTCTCCCAAACACTCACGAAATGTTTTCAAACTCACAAGGTCTTAAGTAACGTATATGTAAAAT